TAAAACTACCATGAAATTTCATATTCTGATTAACTGATATGCATTTAAAGGAAACTAAGTCAGTAGTCAAACACATGTATGGATTAATTTGTTCATTTTAGCATTATCTATAATAATAGAATGGAAACTTGTATCCAATAATGATTAAGTAATTTAAAAAAAAACAGTGAAGCACATATACACAGTGGAATACCATTTAACCTGAGAAGAAGAAAGTCCTGTCATTTGTAATAAGTAAAATAAACACAAACCTGTATGCTGCATAATCTCACTCACAAGAGGAATCTTAAAACAATTCATCTCACAGTATTTAAGGATAGAGCAGTTTTTACCAGAAGATGTAGAATGTTGGTTATGGTATCTACCAGTTGATCACTGAGAACTGAGCTATAGTTTAACATAGGTAGTTCGGGTGTGTTATTGCATAAGAAGGTTGTTGTGGTTTGCATAAACTGTGCCCCCTGTATGCTTGGGTATTTAAATACTTGGTTCCTGGCTGGTGGCACTGTTCAGGCATGCTTAGGTCATCTTAGATAGAGTAGCCTTGCTGGAGAATATGTATTACTGTGGGTTGGCATCTTCCAACTGCTTTGGTCATGAAGTTTTGTCACAGCCACAGCAAAGTAACTAATACAAAGCTGATGATAAATAGTATTTTACTGTAATAATATACCTTTCTTTAAAAAGCTAAAGGAAAGAAAGTTGAACAGGCTCACTAAAATTGATAAATATTCAAGGAAACATATATTTGATATTTAAAAATCACATAATATATACATAATACATACTTTATATCAGTTAATATATGTGAATATATAGAGAGAGCTGTATAAGTATTACCTCATATGATTTATGATAGGCATTATTGAGTCAAAATTAATTTTGATGAGGAGATAGAGAAAATGAATTCATTTTATACCACTGGTAGAAATACAAATTTGGTTTAAATGAAATATCCCTATAACTTTTGGGCATTTGAATACTGGGTCCCCAGTTGGTGGCTGTTTGGGAAGGATTAGGATGTATGGGCTTGTTGGAAAAGGTATGTAACTGGGGAAGGCTTAAGTTTACAAAAGACTAGGGATATCCCCAGTAGGGCAATCTCTCTCTCTCTCTCTCTCTCTGTCTTACTCTTGCCCACTTTCCCTCCCTGATTTTCTTTCCCCTCCCTCCCTCCCTCCCTCTCTCTCTCTCACTCTCTCGCTCTTACACACACACACACACACACACACACACACACACACACACACACACACACACTTGCCCTCCCTCCCTTTCCCCTCCCCCCTCTCTCTCTCACACACACACTTGCCCACTTTTCCTCCCTTCCTCCTTTCTCCCCACTCCCTCCTTCCTCCTACTTCCTTTTTTCAGATCCAGATGTGAGTTCTCAGCTGTTGCTCTAGCTCCATGCCTGCCTGCCTGCTGCCATGCTCCAAAACATGATGATGATGATGATGAACTCCCATCCTTCTGAAACTATAAGCACTAAATAAAGCCTGCTTTTTATAAGGTGCCTGTGCTGGCTAGTTTTATGTCAATTTGACACAAGTTATAGAGATCTGAGAAGAGGGAACCTCAACTGAGAAAATTCCTCCATTAGTTCAGGTTGTAGGAAAGCCTGTAGAGCATTTTCTTAATTTGTGATTGATAGGAGATGACCCAGCCCATTTTGGTTGGTTCCATCCCTGGGCTGGTGGTCCTGGGTTCTATAAGAAAGCAGGCTGAGCAAGCCAGGAGGAGCAAGCCAGTAAGCAGCACCCCTCCATGGCTTCTGCATCAGCTCCTGCCCTGTTTGAGTACCTATCCTGACTTTTTTGATAATGAACAGTGATATGAAAGCATAAACCAAATAAACTTTCCTTCCCAACTTGATTTTGGTCATGTTGTGTTATTATAACAACAGTGACCCTTAGATATTTCCTTGGTTGTGGTTTTAATCATAGCAATAGAAATTAACTAAGACAACATCCCTTATGAAATACTGCATGATAGACATCCCCCTTTTTTGTCTAAAATAAAAAAGTTATAACTAATATAAGAAAAACTATATACAATAAGTATAATAACTATATGCAATATATATAGGAAATAAATACATCAACAATGTCTAGTCCATTTGCATTTAACAAATGCAGCAAAAATACTCCATTATCTATCCTATTTTTGTAAGTGCAAATTGTTATACCTAATTCACTTTCTATCCTTACTTGTATCACCAACTAAAAACTGTCTTTTGATGTCTTTCAAACTTATACACTTTATACCTCTTTAGTGAGTTTTTGTTCTGAATTTATTAACAAGGAAAACTATAATTGTAACTATCTAATCTTCAACTCCCTCAGAGACCTGAGAAGGAAATAATATTACCTAGTTAAACAGGAAGTGCAAACAAAGAACTTTCAAAAAATGTGAGGAATGACAAGAAACCATTGGCTGCCTGGACAGTCACCTGAGGTTTCTCTGCAACATTGGGGCATCCATCTTTGGCCTACAGGCCTAGCATGACTGATAGACTCATCTACGAAGCAGGATTTTCTAAAGAGCCTTCCTACCTTGTCTTGGCAAGGACTGGCAGTCCTTTCTTTTGTGTCCTGCTTGTCTATTTGGATAGCATACTGTCAGCAGTCAAGGCAAGGGCACTTTCTTGCCCAGTGGCTAACTTTTGCCACAGTGAAAGTAAACTCCATTAGGAGTTTCTTCAATGCTCATCATTTTCTCCGAAGTAGATTGGTGCTGCCAAGAATAGACATGTCTCATTGTCACAAAAAAAATCTATGTTATTAAAACATCTTAAATGGCATATCCTGAAAAACTCTGAAGTATTTGACGATGACCTGTCTATCTAAAATATATCTTGGTTTGACCTTGAAAACATACCTAATATGACTATAAGTTTGATTGTAATCACTAACTGCTAACTTTCATTTCTTTACATACTAATTATTTGGTGATAACATTTAAGGACTAGCAATTTGCATTACACTGTGAAATGAACTATATAGGTACAATACCTTGAACAAGATTAAAAATATATGTACAGTATATTCTAACAAAATCAATCTCAAATTTTTATCAATATATGTAACTTATATGCAATATATAAAAATCCAATCTAATGTAAACTATTTAAAACTAGTAGTCACCTTTTAAAGTAGATTCAAAAATATACTTTTTTACCTTTATATATATATATATATATAATATATATATTATATAATATATATACTCTCTTTTTTTTGCAGAATAAATTCAGTAATCTATCCTTTATCCATTATTTCTATTTTTTTAAAGTAAAATCGATAATCTATCCTTTATTCATCATTTCTGTATCTTGTTTTCAGAGTAGATTCAATAATCTATTTTATATCTTATCATATCTATATCCTATTTTTTCCCAACAAGAACCCTAAATCTAATCTCCTTTGTTTAGCTTTTTTTCTGACCATTATAAATTAACAACTTGTAACCCATCATCCTAAACAATGTCAATTATTCATAAACCATTGAATGACCAAAAACCTCCCACCACACCCACCTCTTGGGAATGTGGGCATAGTGTTATTAAAACTACTTCCTGCTGTCTGGGGTGAAAGCATCTATAGGGGATCCTGAAAAGGAAAATTTTGGGTTAATTGTCAAGTCCTGGGAGAGGTAGCTGTATCATTTGTTGTCCAGTCTCTGCATAATGTGAAAATGCAATATCTCCGAATAATCTTTGAAAGTCATTAAGAGTCCGTAATTGATCTCTCCTAATTTGTACTTTTGGGGTCTAATTTTTTGTAGACTTATTTTATATCCTAAATAATTAATAGAATCTCCTCTTTGTATATTTTCAGGAGCAATTTGTAATCCTGAACAAGGCAAAATTTTTTTACTTCTTGGAATCTATCAGGAAGGGTGGTACTGACCCTCCCCACTTCCAACAGTGGCTAACTCAGGCACCTATTAGTTTTCTGAAAAAGTGTCATATGGCATAGGTCACATGCCAAACATTGTTTTATACACTGCCTGAATATTTATGTATTTACTTCCAATCTAACAGAAGGAACTGCATCAACATCCTCAGTTATCAGAACTGAGGCAAATATTACATGTAGAATTTAACAGAGATTATAAAATTATTATAATCTGAGGTAATTATTTCTCAAGCAGATCATTTTTCTTGTGAGAGAAGGGGGTGTCTTTTGTCTGGTTTTAGACAGTGCCATTAACTAGAATTATATTCAAACCCAGTCCCAAGATGTTGATGTTGAGCTTGAAGAACGTTTAGCCAGCATTCAATGTACTAACAGGGACTCTTGAACCAGCAGCCACTAAGCTGATCATGTCCACTTAGTTCTAAGCCTATTCTCTGAGCAGCAGTAGTAGGTAGAAGGTGAGGTCCACAGAAATTTTCTAGATGTTCATGTTCATGCAAGGGTCCTGTGGTCAGTGTGTGTTCGAACCTTTCTCTCATGTTCTATTCCCCAATTATCTTTTTTTTTTTTTTTT